GTATGAATTATTGGCTTAATTAAATAGTTATATTATTATCTTTGAGAATATTGCTTTATTTTATGTACCCAATTTATCGTTTAAACGATTTATTAGTTAATACATTATTATTGGATTTATTTATTTATATAATAATTAAGATTAATCTAAAATCTAAATGACGCATTTTATACATTTAGTAAATAAATATACACATTATTATAGTTAATACTAATTTCATAACACACATAGAATATATTAGAACATATTTTTACTAAAGGTTTTTAGTCGATGTATTAGGAACGACGAATGTATGATTTTACTTGACAAAATTGATTTTGTTTTTATGTGGTATCTAAGTTAAAAACGAATATTCGTAGATACTAAACTTTTCAATAAGCGTTTATCATAAATCATAATGATGTTTATAAATAATATCGTAAAATATACCAAGTAGTATAGACTGACAGACCGTCTTCACTCAGAATCGTTTTTCGTGATTATACATCGTTGAATTCAAATTTAACACATCCAGTACAGTGACCCACACGACACCTATTGTGTAGTTCGTTCAACATTACCCACGTCTCCTCCTTTTAAATTTTTTTCATGTATATAGTGAAATTTAATTTCCAAAAATTAATGAAAATTAATATTCACGAGTAATATTTTATTTGTTACAAATGATATAGTAGCACGTTTTATCTAAGATGGTTGAATATTGTAATAATATTTAATGAAATAACACGTAGGTATCTGCAGGTATATATTCTAAGCTAAAACATTTATCTCCAATGTATAAAATTAAACTAGGTGATTAAAATGAGATTTATTTAGATTATAATTATTATGAATTTTGAACAGTTTCAAAAACGTGAGATAAAAGATATGGCGCCATGCCGGTAGTGATATATATAATAAATTGGAACATTTATTTGTCGGTGTGTATTTTTGTCATTGTACCTACATCATGTCTTTGCAGGTTTATATGTCTTAACTCAAAACTACATGAATAAATATATTTAAACAGACGAGATTTGTTTTATTTAACTTAATGTATAGTATTCTAATAAGTTATGAAAAGGTAAGACGGTTACCTATAATTATGGATTGTAAAATTAAATGGAACAATCGTATTCAATTTTTTTAACATAATTAATGTTTGAAAATTGTTATGATTTTCTTAAGGATATCAATGAAAAAGTTTTTCAGAAGAACAAAAATAATGTCCTGACCGAAGTGTTAGAAAGTGTTTATATTTTAGTTGTTTGCGTTTCTATTTATTAGTACCTATACGATTAATTGTGGTTAGTACTACTGTTCCAAATTTCGTACAATTACTTTATATTTCTTGGTAATTACTTACCTATACTAATTTGTTTGAATATTAAATGATTTATGCACATATTTTTTATAAATACCTACTTACCCATTACCTACCATGTGGCGTACTATGAAACTTGGGGGCTCTACGGCTTATTGGGGATGAAGGGAAATTTTAAACACAGAAATTAAACCATTGAATAATCATGCTAGGAAGAGTCTGGTGGTATATAAACTAATAAAAAATATATAGTAAAATAATTGTTTTTTATTTATTTGTAGGTATGATTATTTTAAAACAATGACAAATTATTGTTTTTATATTTAAAAATGAACTTTTCAAGCCTTCACTTGAATAAGAAAAAAATAATTTCTCAACGATTTTTTGTATGTCTCATAAGCACTGGGGCTTACCTTGGCAACTGCTATACCTAATGTTACCTACCTTATATAACTTATTTATTTTTTGGCGGTGGTATGATAACGATATATTAATATTTTTTATACTTATAAGCCCGACATAGAGTGTAGATGGACCGTCGTAGACCTTCAATACTGTCATATTAAATACTTACATCCTCCCCTACCATCGCGACAACCCAAAATTATTTTTATATGATATTATAACACGCATGCGATGTGCATTTTTCTTGGAATTTTTTTCGCACAGGAGTATGAAATTATGACGGCTATCTTGCTTAACATCATTATAATTAATAATATAATATTGTCATATCGTCAGCGTGTGTTACTTTGTATTTTTGTTATACTAGTTATATACATATAAATTGGAGTGTTAGTTATGACAGCTTGGATACTATTAATACTTACGTCAATTCTAAGTGTGTAAATTTGATCTACTGCGCTTCGGTGAATACATTAATTAAAGACATTTTTTTTATTCTTATTTTTAGCAATATAAATGCGTAACATTGGAAAATTTTGATTACGTCATTTTCATTTTATTTCTGCAGTTTGTGTCGTTAACTGTTTATCTTAAACATCGTAAGACGCATTTCACAATTTATTACATTGTCATCTATATTAAAAATAATATAAAGTTATAAATATGTAGGTATATAACATATGAAATGTTATCATATTATATTACGCCAAAGGTTTATATTATAATGGTTCGTGTATTTAAATCTCTTAAGCCAAATTTATTTCCTAAAACTATATTTTGTTTTGTTCTTGCTTTAACTTATTATGTATTTTTAATTGATTATTAATTGTATATATTCTCTAGACTCGCCATTCCCTATCAGAAGCTTAATTATTGGGCGAGATGTTAATAATTGTTAATTTGTATGTAATATTAATATTTTTTATGTTGTTATATTGACAAATAAATGAATAATAATAAAAAATCAACTGCTTTTGAAAAGCAGCTATGAACACTATTTAAATTGAATATCCAAACACAATAAATACATGGCTGTTTTTCACTTAAGACAGGTAGGTAATTTGGATACAAATACAAAATCATGACTGTTCGGATAAATGTACTGAGTAGAAAACATCTAAACCTAATTCATGGTGTTTTAAATAAAAACTTTTGAATTTTTATTAAACTAAAAAAGTATATATTATTATTTATTATAAGTATAGGTACTCGTTGCTTTCGAATAAATTTAACATATTTCTAACATGCTATACACAATCAAATCATTTTTTCGTGTGGTCATGAAGTAACAACAAACCAAATACTCTAATTTTTTCCATTAAAAAAATAAAACAATATAATGTAGGTCATCTATGTGATACAACAAATTTATAACACAATTATATAACAAAAAAGTAAGGATATAATATGATAATTATAGGTGTTATTCGACTTTTTTTTATTTCATATAACAATTAAAATAATAATAAAAACAAATTTAAGTGCATTATTATTTATAAAATAAAGACATGTATAATATATGCAAATACAGGTCACGTCGAAGCATACCACTTATTTGGCACGTATTATATGTTAAATGAGTGCTAATTTTTCAATTTAATTTATTGTGTAAAATATTGTTTATCTATATGAAATTATGACCACAAGAGTAATCATATATAACTGTTAAGGTCTCACTTCAGCGGTGGCGGTAAATTGTGTCCGAACTCATTTCACCTCCACAACCACTGCTCAATGTGTGCGTGAGACTTTTATCATTCTGCATGGCTAATTAACTAGACACTTGCTTAAAACGAGGGTTTACTTTACTGTATAATGTAGAGATTATATAATATATATAGGTTAGGTTATGGTTAGGGTCGACAGTGAGTTTTTTTAAATAACCCAAAAATTAATTCGTTTGAAATTAATTTATAATATTATTTGATGAACCTTTAAAGTAGAAACTGTACATTTATAATAGATAGTATTAAAGATAAGTAAATGTATCAATTCAAGGATAAGCAGTGGCACACGTCCATAGCGTCCAAAAAAATAAATGCATTTTTTTAAGTACAATTTCCCTTACACGAGCTTTCAAAAAATAATAATGCTATATCCAGTTCCATAAAAACACAAATTTGTGCTAATTTTGATGTGCTTGAAAATGTATAGATGGCAATTATTTGGATTTTACATATTCGAAAGCAAAAATATGGTTACTCACAGTTCTTTTTTATTATTACATTAATATATTTGTGTGTGCGTGTGGGGGGGGGGGGCGGTGATTATATTTTATACTTCAAAGGGGTCCTTGGCCCAGAAAAGGTTAAGAATCTATGCTGTATATAGATAATAGATCAAGGATATTTAAAATTATTTCATTTTAGAAGTGTTAAAATCTATTTTATGCTAAGCAAATACAACCTAAAAATAAATTGATATATTTGTTCAAGTAATTGTTACATATCATGCATACTTATAATATACATGAGACACCAAATGTTAACCACAATAAGAGGAGCAAATTGTCCTATGCAAAATTGATTTTAATTTTTACATATCATTAATTTACAAAAAAAGTTATTATTCTTTAAAAATCCATTATTTGTTTGTATTTCGTACTTGAATGGTAGGTACCTTAAACTAGTTTTTGACAAAAATATCGCTTATAAATTATATTGTAACTATAATATTATGTATTTATAAAACATACAATATATTGTTATTCACTTATAAGTCTATGTACGGTAGACCGGTGTATATAAATTGCTTAAAATTAGGCTAAATATATATTGAAAAATGCATTTAAAACAAAACAGTAGGTATCTATATAATACGGGCTTTGAAATATATTTATCGTTTAACCATTTTGAATATATAGTGTAGTTATAGTAAAATATATACAATTTCTATTTGAAACCACGGAATGATGATAGCAGTAAAATAATTTGTTAAGTTCCTAATAATTATTTATATATTCGTATTTAAAATATTTTGTTGCAAAATTCGTGTGTAAATACACTTAAATTTGTGTAGTAAGTTACGAGTTGTTTATCATCTATGAGTATAAGAATACAAACGCGGAAATGATAATTTTATTACATATTATATTTCATAAAACAAATTTATAGTGATTAAGAATGTTTTTTCATTCTAAAAATATAAAAAGTGATACAATGTCTAAGATACTTTGATAAAAATGATTACGCTTACTCGATAGGTAATGGGTGGTTTCTGGGAGGCGGGTGGGGATATTACGAGTATCATAAAATATTAACAGTTGACACCTGATGTAGTCGTACGAGTCGTGCCATATAGTTTGAGTGAAACGAACTGTGGACGCTGTGGCCTGTTGATAGGTACATCTGTACAGCGTCCACGGTTCGTTTTACGGAGCATATAGTGTCAATAATATCATTAAAACCGTATAATCTATATTGACATATTATTATGTAGTTCACAAAAGCCTGACAACTGCAGCAAGGATCGCAATGGAAGAAGGCCACGACCACCAGTGTAATCCACATCGTCAGGCAGACACTGCAGTGCTGGGTAGGTAACTTTATCCGTTACTATTTGAAAAATATAATTACAAATGTTGCTTAGAGAATAGTAATAAGTGATGTACAATTTCAGAAATGAAATATTTAAGACATTTCTAAGAAGAATTAAATTTTATTTTTTAGTTGAGCTTATTTTTTTACTTAAGGCGTGTAAAAATTACAAATATTCATTGAATTTTGAAATGTATATTACATATTGTATTGATTTAAATATTTTGTATTTAATCATATACAGAGACAATGATAGTACTTAATATTTGCGAGGTAGACGGTAGTATAGTCAATTACCTATTTTTTAAATGCAAATAAAAAAATTAAAATACAAATTTTTCCCTAGGAAATTTTCTTCTTACATCACTTAGTGTAATTAATTAAACATAAAGTAAAGGGCAAGTAAATATGTCGTCTAAAAACTGAACCAAAAATTGTAACTTGTTAACATTTAAAACTAGGGAGATAGTAAGTAACTGCTCCGCTGTAGTGTATAGGTACCTCGTAATTAAGTAAGTCACCGTAATATATGTGCTAAATTTTAATGCAATAATATTATATTGAATACGAAAAACTATTCTGAGCGAAGACGATCTGAGATTTATTTCATAGGGTACCAGCGTACCAGGGTGCATGGGGTAGTCGATACTCTTCTACAATATCGGCAAGATGTATGTGCAAAGTGGTTGCATCACAACCATAGGAACTGGCTGCAACCAATTCAATATCGAATTGAAATACTGATAAAAATCGTTAAAAATTGTTAAAAATCATCTAAAAAATCAATTGATATCAACATCAAATATTTTTTAATGATATTCAAATTTTTAAAATAACAGTTTTTTAATTTTTTTTTTTAATATACAAATTTTATTTCTATTAAAGTAGTTTATTTTATTATTTTTAATGTGGTAGGTTGAATTATTAATCTTTACAAAAAAATAACATCGCATTGAAAGTTTTATCTAGAATTGAAGAAAAAATCTAAAATTTCAAATGTGTATAAATACCTCAAAAAGATCCCACATATTTTGAAAATTAAATTATACTGTTTATGTATAAAAAAAAGTGCTATCAAACGCTTTTATGGAAAAATTCAAATATGGTTAGTCTAAATCGTAATATTATGCGTTTAATATTTTCGTCAACGTATCTATTGAACTTCAGGGGCTCATGAAAAATTTTGAGGCAATGGTCTTACGTAGTGGTTCCTAACCTCAGGTTGCGATCCAAAGCAGGGCGTTGAGGTTTTTATAAAGACGTGTCATAGTAATAGTCCATAATTTATAATTAACATGTTATTTCAGGATGATTTTTGTGAATATTAAGAAAAAATATTTTCCTAAACTAATTTAAAAAAATATTCAACAAGAAAATCGTTATGAATATTATAAATAATAATATTGTTATAGGTTCTCATAATTTCTATTTTTTGTTTGAATTTTTTGTTAGTAAAATATATGAGAATTATCGACTATGTTTGCAATTATTGTGATTTTTTAGGAGTCGTGAAACGTTGAATTTAAAATGTTAGGATCACTCATAAAAAGTTGGGGACCACTGATCTAACTTTCGAATAAAATATGTGATTCTTCGAAATTGTAATCTAAATAATAATACATTTTTTTTTTACTGTTTCTCAATTACATCTTGCACTTTATTTTATTTATGTACAAATATAATTCTTTATTTTATAGAAAACGAACACAATAATATTATATAGTTTCATCATAATATAATACTTCTACATAAATGCTTAATATACTTTTATCTTTATAAAACTAATAAAATCACACAAAAACCGGAATGATTCCCAAAAATAAAATTTTATCCGATCTCAACGTACAGACTACAACAATAATATTCACGGTTACACTTAATTAGGATTCCTCATTAATGTGTGACTAATGAGTAATGACTAATGACTATTGAATTTTGTTAATTTAGGCGTATAAGCCATAATATTAGACACTATGAAACATTTTCGTTTACTTATTGTACATATTGTTTTAAAAGGTTGTCTGCTCACTGTTTGTTTTCTTTTTTTTTTTGAGGGTACGAGTAGTACAACACATCTATTTGTCTAAATGCTGTCGATAAAAATCAATTTAAATACGATTTAAATGTACAAAAAAAATGTTTTGTTTTGAAAGTCGAATACAAAGTTGAATAATAATGAAATATAAAACCACGGAATGTCATACCTTAAAAATATTATCTTCTATAGTTTTTATTATAGGTGATCTTACTCTAAGATAACTAAAAAATCATAAAAATTATTTTGTTTGAAGACATTTTATCTATATATGTTACGTGTGAGTTTGAAAGAGAAAACAAATATTGCTCTGACGGCGTCCCCTAAACAGTTGTTTTGAATAGTTTTGATAATACTGTGTATTTACAGTAAATCGGTATATCTGTACATTACACTAATAATCGGATTTCATAATATAATAGATTGTTTAATATGGACCGCAGGTCCTTTTGTGGGATTAGACTCAACTTTTTTTTTTAATTTCAGTAACAACAACTTACGAAGAATTTTGTTTTACATTTCCAAATGCTTAGTATGATTATGAACATTAACTACAAAATAATTTGCTAAGTTTTGCGATTTTGACGAAATTCGCACACTATTTAATGCACACTCAAAATATTGTGCACGCTTAAAAAATATACCTACATAGTGGCTACATAATAATGTATATTTGCATACCAAACGACCACAAAAATATAATTTTATACTAAGGAAAAACATTTATAATACCTATTGTGTTTTGACAATATTTTTTTCAAGGTCGACTGGATTTTCGCCTATGTTATAACGCTGTTGCTTACGCAGGACTGACGATTTGATTTTAACTTTTTATTTAATCCTTACTCTGCACATTTTTTTTTAGAACGGTGATGACTATTACACGTTTGCACATACCTAATATAAGCAACATTATTATTTATAGTATACTATTTGAATTAATTGAAACGGTGGTTCTTAACAGTCAATAACAATAGTAATAAAATAAACAAAGTTATTTAATTTTAAATCTACAAATAATAGTATCATTTCTATACACGATAACATTTTAAATGTTTGGAGCCATTTATAAACATTAACAATATTAATTTTTTTAGTTTTTTATTCTATAAATGTCAATATAATTGTAATAGTTAGATAAAAAAAACTTGAAAATTTGATATAAGGCTCCTGATATATTGTTACATTGGTAGTTAAAAAATATTAAAATACATAAACACGATATTTTGTATAAGCATTTAAGTTCAAATTTTGATGACATTTATTAAATTCAATGTTAACAAATTATTTTGTGAAAAAAATGTATACGAATATCCGATGTTCAACTTTTATAGCTAAGGATTGAACATTTAAATCAAGGTTGAATTTAAGCAGTTAATTCTGTCCCAACCAGTATACAAAAATATATAAACACAGTTATAGTAATTATATTATATTATTATTATTGTTATTGTTATTTGTTATTATTATTATTTATAGTTATTTTATTTTTATTTATTTATTTATTTATTTATTTATTTATTATTATTTATCGACGCCTCACTGCCTCAGGGGCATTAGTATAGTACAGATTATAATTATAGATTATACATAATATTACAAGGTAAGAAAAAGAAAATTGGTGCATAAATGAAGAATAAATCAAAGAAAAATATTAACAAGTACAATTTTTAAGTTTAAGAATTAACGATGGCAAAGAATCATTAAAAATATCAATATTTGACATATTATTAATAGATCGACAATCACGATCAAGAGGGGCTGCGTACCCATAGTTAGTGGTGTGAAAATTCGTTTTTAATGTTTGGGGATTTCTGGAATAAAAAGAAGGAACTGCAAAAGATAATTTAGCAAGTAAATCAGGAGCATCAATATCATCGTTCAATAATTTGTAAATAAAGGTAACATAAAGTTCAACACGTCGATCAGTTAGAGATTTAAAAGTATACAGGTTAATACCGCAACGAGATATGCTCATTTTTATAAATTTATTTTATACTTTATTTATTCGATTAATGTGTAATTGTTGATGGGGTGACCAAATAATAGCAGCATATTCAAGTAGTATTTTAAGTTCAAATGTTGAAGAAATTATGTATTAAACCAAGATTAACGATTTTAGTTATTTCATTTTAATTCAAAAATATTATTGGTGGGTACTTGAAACTTTCAAAATATTTTTAAATGCAATTTTTTGGACAAAAATGAATTTAACTTACCTTCTATATAAGTACTAATGATTATTAAAAAGTGTAGTAAAATACCTTACTTTAATCACAATAATATAATAAAAATATATATCTGGGTATTTAGTAGTATTGTATAGGCTGACAGACCTGTCTTTGTTCAGAACCGTTTTTCGTATTCAATGATTTTATAACACGTTCTACAGTGACTCTCTAGACACTTAATTTACAGTAGAGAGTTTCCCACTTTTTTAATTTTTAACTAGGTACACAACAATATTTTCAAATATTCGTACAAACGCTTATGAAAAACCATGTCTATGTATTTTTAACACTTTTAAATATCTATTACAAGCACTTATAAGGAACCTTAAAGTTAATTTTTAAGCTATCTGAAATCACCTTTAAAATTTATCATTGTAAAATCATTTCAAATAATAAAATCTTGAATAAAATCAAATTATCATTGTAAAAGGTAGGTATATCGCTAAGCTCAGAACCTAAAAATTCGCAATATCAATACGTAATATATCGAATAAGAAATATAAGTAGTAGTAGTAACTGTTTAAAAAGGGTCAATTCAATTTAGTTAGTGTGAATATTATGAAGATACATTTTTATATTGAATATTTTACATTTGATTTTATGTGTACAATAATTGACCTTTTTATATTTCAGTACCTAGTATTTATTGTTATGGAACCATTGCTGCATGTGATTCAAAAGTCTAGTATATACTCAGATTCAAAAATGTTTGTTGTCATGAAAATGAAATATATACCGAATAAAACCATGAATTTATTCTTGGATGTGACGAAAAACTAGGGATACAGGCCTTATAAATTATATCTGGAGATTTTTCTCAATGACGCATTTGTGAAGGAGAGCAGTGCAGGATTTGAAATTTGGGATCCCACCAACTGTAAGGCAGAGACAAAATTTCAAAGAATGAGACTTACATTTCATATGAAAACTTTTAGGTAAACAAATCAAATATTATGTATGTATCAAAACGGAGGTGAGATTATCTAACACTATGTGGTGTCAGCCACCCATGCTACCGCCAATGATAAAAAGTTACATAGAGGGAAAAAAACGAGAAATCCCTTAAAGAAAATGTAGATATACAAGAAAAATAATTCGGCTATTTGATGTTAAGCCATACAGTGGATATAAAAAAAGATGGAAAATGTTACACATTGGCTGTATAAAAGGATTTCCGTGATGTTTAAGATACAAAATAATCAGTCTTATTTCAATCATAGCAGCCCATCTAGAGTGGTGATGTTATGATGATCGGGTAAAATTAATCGCTAATCACCCTAGATTTCTTCTAACGTGTCATACTCAAGTCACAATTCCACTTCCTCTTGACCCAAAACCGCCTTCAACGTTTCTATACGTTGGTTGGCGCTAGAGTACCTGCGACAACTCGCTCTCAGAACCCAGTAAAAATCGTCTAGTTATTTGGCGTTTCAAATATGAAGTGACCAACTCTTAGTCTTTTGTGTTTCAACGTTTTTTGATTTCAACGGGCCTTGGTTTCTGTAAACCAGTTGGAGGATGATCTGTTCTTGAGGTTCGTCCGCTCGACAACGTCTCTCATTGTCCGATCAGGCCGTAGATCATCAGCATCATTTTGGTTCGGTCGGTGCTGATTAATATTACTAACCTGACGCCCGACAGTCGGCATCCATCACAAATCTCCGTGTGACCAAGCGCAGTCTGTCGCGTTGCTTTCTATTCGTGGCTTGCGCGTGCTGCAAGGGCATTACCCACCGCGCCGTGCTTTTGAAATCATCAGTAATGGATGCCACCGCTATTCACATGAAATCACTCGGTGGAACCCGGTGGAAAATTGACTCATACGTCATCATTTGTGATTTGTCCCGAATTCCGGTACATCTGCAGGTAATCAACGTAATTATTATGATGTCAATTATATGTTCCCATTTAGTGTAACGATGTGCGACCACCCTCCTTGTTGATTATTATTACTTACTACTTACTTGTAATTGTATTGATATTTTATCCTCCTGGTCCAGCTGCTCTATGGTTGTCAGTCCAACTCCGAGAAAGAGCGCATGTAATATTCATATATAAGAAATTGTAGATTTAACATACGTGGAATTGCTGAATTCTTTTTCCAAAATAAAATATAATTATTTCAGGTTCGGTCTTGATAACTCATGATTTTTATACTCCCCGGGTTGGTTAGAAAATGATTTTATTTTATTTACCTAAATAATTTTTTTATTTAATTTTACATTAAAACATGTAATGTTTGAACGTAGATTAAAAATTAATTTTAATTTAAACGATGTATTAAATACTTGAATTTAATTTACATGTGAATCTCAAAAATACCTGTGGGTTAGGAGAGTGAGTAAAATCTGCACTTGACGATAAAATAATGTCGTAGGTCAGGGTACGTTTAAAATGATTGCATTCAATAACCCATGGTATGATTTTAGGAAACCTGATCTATCTGAAAACACGGTCAATCATTCTGGTGGATTTGAAAAGCCAAGATACTGGGTGACTTGTATCGCGAGTGAGTTGTTGAAGTTCAGCGACAACAAATGGCGGTGAAGATGGTTCTATGGAAGAGGTGGACCCGTGATACTACACGGGATATCTACTACGACACGCTAATAAAAACAACTATACTAAATATAGGTTGATAAGTGATTACTCTTACCCGATCATCTTATCAATACAGTGGACAGGGTATTATTATTTATGACAGATATAAACTTAATGTCGATGAGGCTTAAAAAAGGATAGGTGTCCTTGTATACATTTAATGTGTATGACGTATGTATGTTCCTTTTTTTCGTATATCCATTGTATGATTTAACATCAAATATCTAAATTATTTTTCCAGTATATCGAAATTTTCTTTAAGAATTAAGTATTGTTTTTTGTTTGTGGCCTTGACGTATCTTTTTGTTATTGGTGTTAACATCGGTGGTTGAGACCACATAATGTTAATAAACAGTAGTCTATGTCTATCACTTTACTTAGTGAATGTCGTGTGCTTTAGTTCTCAAAATTGCTTCATTTACTGTTATTAGGTTTCATTATTTGTCCTGAAATACTATCTTTTTTTAAAATTTTAATCTAAGTTATTTTAAAAATAAATTGCCTTAAGAGGATGTCGCACCCATATGTATTGTATCGGTTGACCGTCTTACACACTTACTAGTTACTACATAGAGTGATAACATTTTTTAAACTGTATATTTTAAAATGATCATAATTCATAACATACCTACTTAAAAATAATAATATCAATAAAAGCCTACTTGGGTCCTTAAATAATAATCTTACCTTTAAATTGTATAATAATAGGTCAATTTACTCTAATATCAAAACATTCAAAACTAACAGCACGCACTATTAAAACTGGTGAACGAGCATTTTCTAAGACAAAGATAACACACTAGGGTACGATGTCCTCTTAATACTAGGTTCCAAACCATTTTAACCAATATTTTCAAATAAAAATTATAGTACAAGTAGTTAAAATGTTGTTGATTATATTTAATATATTTAATAGTTATCTAGAGATTGTCTTTATTTCTTATAATATCTTATATTTTATTTTTATTTTTCTTATTATATTCAATTTAATATTGTAAGTAATTGATTGTACATTATTTATTAAATCCTGCATCAAAATGTTTATTTATTAAGATTAAGCGAGCTGAGCTTTTTTGATGCAATAATTATTACAATACATATACATTTACATAATATATACTTAAACAAATAGACCATTTACAATAATACAGTACATTCAACTTAAATAATATTTAATTTAAATAAACTAGACAATAATATTATTATTGTCTAGTTTATTTCATTTTAAAAGGCAAAGAAGGGGACACATTTACTATGGACATTTAACACATCATGCCCTTATGGGTTCATTTGTTATAAAGTTTGTGTGGATAGTGGAATGATAAAAGGGACAAAATATTAAACTGAACGAAGAGGAACTTTAAAATTAATTTAAGACAGGAGCATGGGTGAATCGGGTTTCCAATACAAGATGATATTATTCAGAAATTCTAAATTGAGTGCATGATTATGATCAACCAAGGATTTAAATGAGAGTCTGGTAGGTATCTATAGTGTTGAAATTGAAGCTTATGTGAAATGAACTTTAGGCTCATGTATTTAATGTAGAAAAACTATTACATAATAATACAGCTTTAAGATTATTTTAATAGTATAATAACTAATATTTATCAAAACATAAATGTAACATACAACTGCAATATTCAGGGACTGTAAGTGTACACAATTATAACGTTTTGTTTCCAAGTATCTTTACCTAAATCATAACCATTTACGTCATATAGGTACTCATAAATAGGGTTAAAATGTTTATAAATTGTGCATACTTTTTATTTTGATCACGAACCTTGCAGATCAAATTATATAATATGATTTGATCTTTTTGAATGACCTAGAATCAGATACATTCAATTTTATATTGCACACATTATGTAGCATATTTAGGGATTAATAGAAATAATATTATGAAAAAGCAGCTAATATACCAATATTTCAATGAAAAAAAAATAAAAATTTTGTCTCATTTGAAAAATGTTGACAAGTGGATACCACTCTGCTGTATAGTAAATGTCAAGTGGCTAATATTGTAATGGATGTGTTGAATTTTAATTTAATGATATAAAATCATTGTATATGATAAACGATTCCAAGCAAACTCTGTTTATATTACCACTACTGCATTGTAGGGTTAAAGTCGGAAACCCAGGAGTTCAAAATAACTTTCTAAAAGTGATAATCCAAAGATATTTATCGTGAGTCGTGACAGTATTCTGAATTCATAAAAAATATTGAGAAAATATCATATTAATATTTGTTTATGCCGTTCAAACATTACTACGTATCATGTTAACTATAAACTTCAATTAATCGAAACAATGTAAGTATACTAATTTAATTAAACTACATTATTAAAAAGTCTATGATATGGCCTAGAATCTAGATAGTAGTCTTACCTTAACGGCTTTACATATTTTATAGGAAGTAATTTCAATCTAATTTTAGAAATTATTATGATTATATTATTACATAATTACCTTTGTGAACGTAAAATTTGCTATGTTGCGCGTGGGTCAAACTGGTCAAAGAGAGAAAAAAAATACGGTGACATCCTCTTAAGGGGCCTCCTTACTACTGGATTCTAAGGAACATCGTATACATTCGGCAATTAACCTTGTCGTTGTATTAGTAGTAAATGATCATTAGTAATAGAAACCTGCATAGTGCAATATTTCCACTCCCTACCCAATCGAACCATAGTCAGACGTTTCTCTCGAGGTGTCTTCTTGGAATAAGCCTCGTTTATTATTTGCATTTTTTTCACACTTTTCCTCTGGAAAATTTAAAAAAAAATCCTGTACTTTTCACACGACAACGTCTCATATGTTGGTGTCCCTATAACATTATCATTGACTAACATAATATTATGGGCTATAGGTATCTATTAAATATTAATTATTAATGTGTGACATGTGATTTGTCGTGCGTATTCCGGGTTTAACGCACATAGAGTTACCTACTCAGAGTGTGTAAGGCGCGCTTATGCAGCAGTCTATCACGCCTACCGTCAGGAACACTCCTCAGTTTCTCGTTTGCGGTATATGCGTGACGACTTATTAATTGATCACGTCGAGCATTCAATAAATTATATAAATATATTTTTTTGTTTTATTTTAATAATTTTCTTGTAATGATGAGAGAGTATAATACTAGTCTGATACCATTAACTGATACAGATAATATTTTACACCAAACATATAATCTCGTTTTTTTTTTTAATATGAGTGGATAACGAGTTCAATTACATGTGTCATTTCGGAAAAGAGACTTTTCTTGTGATTACTATAGGGCAGTGGATCCTAAATTTTTTTCCATCTCGGAACATTTCAGTTACGAAATAGGATAACAAGTGTTTAATTTAAGGCTAAAATGTATCTAGTGTAACTAGCTGTTGAAAAAAAAACAATCTCTTTCACAGGAACGATAATAATATGAACACGATTTTAATTATTGCTCATATTATAATATTACTATTTACCAACTATCCACAAGTTTGAACATTTTAAATTAGTAACACAAATTTTCACAACTTACACTACTTGCTCAGACCAGCCTTGGTATCCGGTTCTAAATCTAAATAAAATGACACTATTGCACACTATTGAATTTCTAAAAAGTACACTATGATTACTTAATGGCATTCAATATCTATTATTGTAAACAATTGTCTTAAAATGTATTGGTTTTGCAATGTGTTTTTTTTATTGTATTTGTTGTTACATTTTGGAACCGTAAAAATGAAATGTTGATAAAATATTTAATTCGAAGTCAATAACCTTGAAAATGTAATAGGTAAGTTGTAGCCACTTGTAGGTACCTACCACATTCCTTAATCCACATAAGTTGTTATTGATTAAAAAATATTGAAAATACGGGCTTAATTGTGTTTTTATTAATTTAAGTTAAAATATTAACAAAATTATTAAATTGTAGTGTAAGTACACTATATTTTGGAAGTTAAAAATTCATGCAATTTTCAATTTTTATAATATTTAATATGATAATGTGTATTTGTGGATGAAATTAATGCTGCATGTGCTACATAAAAAATAATGAAAAACACATCTGATATTAAAAATGTTGATAACTTTTTTTTGGAACACCCATCACTTTGATAAGTCATGTTTGTAGGTACCAATAAACAAAATTATTATTATAACTAATACGTTTTTAGACCTTGATTACAACATTTTGCACATGACCAGAAAAAGGTTTACAACCCCTGTTTCTAGGATTTAGGAGTATCACATTAAATAAAAACTTATTCAGAAAATATATGAATTGTAGTTTAATAAACTAAAATGTTATTTATTTTATCATTATGAAGGATCCAAATTAGATAAACCGTTTTTGAAACATGTAATCCAAGATGGATCAGCATCAGTACCAGTTGTTTGATGTTTGAAATAATTCATGATGCAGGCGTCAATATTCTCATGAGTAGGTGGCGCAGTGTTATCTAAAAAAAGAAAAATGTGTTTTAATTATTGAAATAATAAACACAATTATTTAAATTATAGATAAAATAGTGTATTTTTTGGCCATTTTAAATCATATTAAATAAATTAATACCTCAACATTATACGTTTAAACATAACAACACTAAGATGGGAAGTATTATTTTTGTTTGTCATTATACATAGGTAATACTGTTATAATATATTTTTTCTGCCATAGTGCTATACTACAAACAGCAATTACAAACTTTCAACAGCCGATCCTACTTTAATATCTACCAATTTACTAGGTATTCGTTTTGCACGATTCGCAAGGCTATTAAAAAAGTAGTAAAAAAAACAGACAATTAGGTAAGGTAATAGCCACTAGTCTTGTTTATCTTTTTTTTAAATCATGTGTATTGTTTCATGTTTGTTGTTCCCAAATATTACTTAACTCATTAATAAAATACAAATTTAATATAACTAAACATAAATTACAATGGTTAAATTTAGAGTTTGGATAAAATTGATAATACGCTAGTGACCCGACTTAAGTTCTCACATCCACCACTATGGTACGCTGTTATCAACCCTGTGCAGAACGTCTTATACTGTGACATAAATGTACTTTATCGAGTACTATTTTTTAAAACTAGAATAAATTCAGAGGACGCCATAAGGCATTTTTTGTCTCTCTTACAAACCATGGCAAATTTTACATTCATAATGATGGAGGATTATAATGATATTATTATTTTTAAGTTATGATAATTTTTTAAGACAGACAGAGACAACAAATGCCAGTGTGGTGTCTTCTTTATGCTGGATATAAGTATGCAAAACTTAATGTGCAAAAACAAGTAGTATTAATGCTATGGTCAATTGAAGTTTTTTTTTATTATACACAGCTATGTGGCACACACAACTACGAATACTTTTTGTTAGTATAAGTGCAGATACAAATTAGTTCGGACTTTGCGATCTAAGCCTATCTGGGGCGGTTTTCTATAGCACATTGAGTGATGTAATCAGTTCGTAGAGTAGAAGTCCTGAAGAGTGAAGCGACCAGTAATACTCACTGTATATACTTTTTTCTAACTCTAAATGTATTTATAATTTTTTTTTCTAGATAATATTTGGTTCCATAGGTGTTTTGATGTGTAAAGTTATATATTTAAATAATGACTTATTAATGTTCAAAACTTATGACTTCTATCTTTTTTTTTTGCACAATCATTATTAAAATATTGATTGCCAATTACTGAGTAACGTTAACTTGTTCCACGACTATTTTTAATTAAGGGGATGGTAACATAAATACATGTATACTTTTAATACTGTGATTTAAGAGATTAAAATTGGTGAACATTTTGGTACAATTTAGATGCAATTTGTCATTCTTCAAAAATCTAAAGATTGGCATAGTTATTGTCAACCATTAAAGAACTATTAAAGTAATTGTAAATCAATTAATTTGAAATATTTACCTGGGAATGCAGTGTTAGCAAAAGCATCCAGAATTTGAGATCGTAGTTTAATTAAATACTGTTCATACTTAGAACAACCAGCACTGAGTTGTTCATTGTTAGCCACTAATTTGGTACTAGCATGTTCCATGTTTTCAATATATTTATCTAAGACACATACTTCTTCTTTTTGATCTGTTACTTTTTTACGAAAGGTTCTTAGTTCATTATCTCTAGCTATAAAAAAAAATAACAATAATAAAAAAAAATAATTAAATTAAAACAAATAGGTACCAACCTTTATTGAAGTTTAAGAATTCTTCAGTAAATATTAGTATGTCAGGGTCTGTATTACTGTTAGCACTAGGTAAAGACGGTTTACCCTTTTTAAATTCTTGTTCCTAAATAGAATAAATACATAAATAATTAATAATTATGAACAAAGAATTTGTAATTTACAAAATCTGTAATACATATTTTTCAAGCAAATATCATTATTCAAAGCTTCAATATAAAAAAATATAAATTATCACTAGTTGTCCGTGGCTCTAAATAGGGAGACGTCGCTATAATAGGGCCAAAAATCCAGGGTTTTTATTGTCACAAATAAAAGAATTTGGGATGAAAATTTAAAAAAAAATTAACCATCGATAATGGTTTTTGTTATATGAATATCATTTAAATCAATTATCAATGTTTACATTATATAATTATAAATACAGACAAATTAACCACTTTGTTTTTAGAAAATAAATAGTTTTGGAGCCGCCGTATATATAATTTATCTTATAATATATAAATACCAGCATTATTTTATGATTGAGTGTTGTGAAGATGCATGTTGAAAATCTATTTCATAATTTATAAATTTGTCAATAGTGAATGATGTACTACTCCTTACTTACATTTAATTCATCAAAATTAGAGTAAGTATGGATGCTTTTAAAAACATTTACATCATATTTATTAGAAAGTAGCAATTATTTTTTGTCGCCATTAAAGTTTTTTAATAATGAACTCTTTCCACAGTTACTTAAAAGCAGTAGTTTTCTAGTAGTATGTCTATCATTAATTATTTTCTTAACAACACCTATAATCTTAGCTACAGCAGAGCAGTCATTTTCCTCATAAAAAATTATAAACAATTGCCAAAGAAATTCCATGGAGCAAGAATGACCATCAGATACCGCATACATTATTGAACATAGAAGCTGGAGTGACTTAACTTAAGGAACATTTCACGGGTTATTGACAACTTCGTAAGTTTTAAAATTAAAATTTTAACTGTTATTCGTTAACAAATTATATAACTATACATATTAAGTTATTTAATGAAAAAAAAAATGATAATAAAATACATTACTAAGGACATACACCTAGTTTTATTATTTTACATTAAAAAGGGCCCCCCCCCCTTTAAGTTGTTTTGCATTGGAGTTGAATTCTTATACTTACGCCACTGCTTGATGTAGATGGTGTTTCTTTTTTAAATTCTTGATCCTAAATAGATAAATCATAGATAGTTAATAACAATGCATTTATAGTTTTATTATATCTTAATCTGTAACATATATTTTTCATGCAACTAAACTTTACTCAAGCTTCTCAGTGAAAATTTAAAAAAAATATAACCTTTTTAAATTTGTTACCATTAGATGGTTTTTCTTTTTTAAATTCTCGATCCTAAATAGAATAAATACATAGATAGTTAATAACAATTAATTTATAATTTTATGGAAATATTAGTTTGTAAAATATATTTTTCATGCAACTATATTTATTAAAGGCTCAAATATAAATAAAATAAAACCTTTTTAAATTTGATATCATGAGATGGTTGTTCTTTTTTTAAATTTTGATCCTAAAAAAAATAAATACATATAGTTAATAACAATTAATTTATAATTTTTTGGAAATATTAGTTTGTAAAATATATTTTTCATGCAACTATATTTATTAAAGGCTCAAATATAAATAAAATAAAACCTTTTTAAATTTGTTATCGTGAGATGGTTGTTCTTTTTTTAAATTTTGATCCTAGAAAAAATAAATACATATAGTTAATAACAATTAATTTATAATTTTATGGAAATATTAGTTTGTAAAATATATTTGTCATGCAAATATATTTATTGAAGGCTCAAATATAAATAAAATAAAACCTTTTTAAATTTGTTATCATGAGACGGCTGTTCTTCTTTCAATTTTTGATCCTAAATAAAATAAATACGTAGATAGTTAATAACAATGAATTTATAATTTTATGAAAATTTTAGTTTGTAAAATATATTTTTCATGCAACTATATTTATTAAAAGCTCCATTATAAATAAAATGTAACCTTTTTAAATTTGCTATCATGAGACGGTTGTTCTTCTTTCAATTTTTGATCCTAAATAAAATAAATCGTAGATAGTTAATAACATTTAATTTATAATTTTATGAAAATGTTAGTTTGTAAAATATATTTTTCATGCAACTATATTTATTAAAAGCGCCAATATAAATCAAATATTACCTTTATAAATTTGTGATCATGAGATGGTTGTTCTTTTTTCAATTTTTGTTTCTAAATAAAATAAATTGCAATGGGTATATAATTTTATCAAAATCTTAATCTGTAATACATATTTTTCATGCAACTATCTTTATTTAAAGCTATAATATAAATTAAATTAAATAACAATAAAGATATAACTTTTTTTTTTAATTTGCTATTGTAAAATTATTGATGCATAGTTCAATAAATATTTATTATTTAAAATAAATAATTAATGCAATAGATAATGAATTTCTTGGATAATGGTATAAAACATTTCAAAACAAAATTTTATTGAACATAGTAATGTTTCATATTTTGTATATTGTGGACTAATAAATGCAACAAATATTATATGAATTTTAACATTATATAAACATATTGTGAAAATAATATATGTAATTGAATTTTTCAACAAACTTTTTGGATAGAGATATCATGTTTAATTCTGTTTGATTTGAACTCCAAAAAATTTCTGTATGCATCAGTCTTTTTATAAGCCTCTAGTTCCTCAATATATTTAACTCGTTCTTGTTCAGCAGCTGTAAGGTATGGCTAAAAAAAAAACATTTCTATAGAAGAATAATTAAAATCCTTGATGATTGGTGGATTGTTTTCTAAATATTAATATCTGCTGCATTTAATGATGATTAATGTTTATAATATGTTATGAAGTAATTACTTGTTTTTTATCTGCTGGCATTTGGTTCCATTCAAAAGCTAATATTTTGGTTACTTCAGAAAATGGTAAATTGGAATTTTGAGCACAGTACTGTGGTCGTCTTTCATTTAAAAATCGTATGTATCCTGTAAACATAGACGAACAATGAATCTATTTTTATTATTCTTGGATAATCTATTATTTTTAAACTACACAAAATTGTATTTAGTTGTTAATTTATTACCATTAAGTGGAGGTCTTGGAGCCCTTTTGTCTTTTAAATACGTTTTACGTGTTTTACTTTTAATATGTTTTTTTTCAATAATTTTTGGTGTGGTATTTTTCTTGAATTCTTTATCTTGTCCTGCAACATTTAGTTATAATGTCAACATGAAGACATATAATATTCAATGAAATATACAACATGCATGGGGTCCAATTCTTGAAATCATGAGACAAATTCTTGCATGTGATAAAAGTCATAGATTTTACCAAAGGTGATACTTTTAATTGCATGAGACTTAATATTGGTATTCTTGAACTAAATCAATAAGATTTTTGTCACTTGGCAAATGTTATAAAATATTCCGTGTGAACCACTGCAGAAACGACACAAAATCTAGATTTTAACCTCAAATAAATATTTGATCGAGTGACTACCTTTACGGTTAACATAAATATACTCAGGATATTGATTTTCGATCAAATTTATATTAGTTGATGGAGGTATGATTGTCAAATGTATGCAGTCAACACAACCAATAACCCTGGGAAATTCAGTTTCTTTGTAAAACATTGATCATTGAACATATTATTAAAAATTATTTGAAATAAATCTTATTAAAAATTATGTATGTAAAATAATAATTACTAATTGCGGATTTTGGTGAGCTCATTCAAATTTTTAGGAAACATAACTTATGTTTGAAATATTTTGGGGTGATTTGGAGTTGCCACAACTGCCCTTATACTAGATACTGTTGGCTGAGATTATGCTATGAATCTACTATTACCCAATGAAGATTGATAGGAACCTGTAGCCTAAAAATTCAACATCACTAGAATCTATTCAAATTAAATAAAAATAACTGAATGTACTTATGTTAAAGAACTTTGAACTCATTCTATCAGAATTATTGATATTATTAATCAACCAAATTTAAGGTTAAATAATAATTTAATTAGGTTAATTATCGTGCTTAAAATAAGTTAAATACAATTAATTATGTTTGTACTATTATATTTAAATTTATTTTAAATTTAATAATAATAGGTAAATACACTAAACATTGTTTTTTATTAATTATACAAGGTACTATGTTATTATTATACAGTAATTGTTTAAAATATATTATAAAAGTATATAAATTAAAAAATAAGTATTAAATTAAAAGTATTAATTCTAAACGTTGTGTTTAGTTGTTTAATTTTGTATAGTTAAGTTATCATGTAATAGATGTTAACTGAAAGCTAATAAAAAAAAAATATATATTAATTCTTATAAAATAATATAAAATTAATGAATGAGTACAAATTAAAAATAATTCAATAGCATTTTTTACTGATGTTATGGGCTTATTATACATAACTTAACTAGTTAGAAAGTTTAAGTTAAGTTAGAACGTTATTTTTAAAACTTTCTAACTAGTTAGTTTTAATTCATAATAAATTTATAACTTAACTAGTTGGATTGAAAGTGTAAAATTATCTAATCTAACTTGTTAAAAACTAGAAGTAACCAGTTTTTTTTCATTCCAATATTTCAAACGTTCTGTAAAACTGCTGAGTGCCGACTATTATCATCTACTTATAACACAATTACTATAATTATAATGACCAACATAGATCATAAAAAAAAAAAAAATTCTAGTAAAATCAATAGAAGAAGCACAGCTTTTTGTTTTAATAAAGAGCCTTGCTAATTCGATTAAATATAGAACAAGATCTTTTGTTAGTCGGTAGGTTTTTAATAAATAATCGGTTGGACAACATGAATGGATCACTTATAAATTTTTTTTTTCGCATATATCTTTCGGGAATTAAATGTTCATATTCACGAACGTTGTTAATAGCGATCAAAGTAGTCATCTCTTCAAAGTTAGCCATACCAAAATAAACTAGATTATACTTTAATGTATATTCTATAATTGACAGTATTATTACTAGATATTAGGTATTATGATAATAAATGGTAACTATATTTATAAATTATTCTATATATTATACTAAATTATCATGCGATAGAGGTTTGTCACTGCTTTTTACCTAGTCGAATATTAGTCGATGGTTCTTGGTTCGACTAAAGTCTTATCTTATTTCAAGAATACTAAATATTTATTTTCATGCGATGAGAATTTTATCTCATGTGACAAAGTTGATCACGATTACAAGAATTGGGCACCTTTAATAAAAAATACAAAATTATAAACGCAAGTACCTGATATGTCCATAGGCTCAGAGTTTTCAGAATCCATCATTGTACTCAATCAAGCTTACTGTTTTCCTAATAAAGACTAAGCGTACAGGCATTCAAACACGCCGACGGCTAACGAAATCGTCCGTACTGACAAAATTCAATACAACGGAGAACAGTGAACTAGATAATATTAATCGCGACTCGTGAAACGCCTAAAAAGTTTCAGCACCAAACGAAGAATTTAAGAGCTATAACGCACTCGTAAAATTCGACGGAATGGCCGAAATACCAGCAACGTGGTCGGAAACCCGGACGTATTATCTATAGTCAGCGCGGAGACGTTAACTCGGGACACGCAACACAGTCGTGCAACAGCACACTAACACACTAACACACTAACACAATGATACTATTGCGACAATGAATATAACACGATATCATGGCATCGTGCTAAAATGACCACAATGATCGTATCAACGTAAAATAAGACGACGTTCGGTCAACGACATGGTTGACATGATTTAATGCGCAGTACATTCCTACCTTCACCCCGGTTGGCTTATCGGTCGCATTTTCGGGGAATGTTCCCCGATAGGCCCAGTCCAATATCCTTTGATAAACCATGTCTGAATAGTCGCATACCAATAACATATTATTTTAAAGGATATTATTAATATTATATTGTAAAATATGGTAAGTAAACAATAGGATAACAATACAATATTACTCTCAATGATAAATGATAATAATAATATTTAAGGACTAATATTGTACAATATTATGACGTATTATGTAATAATAATTATAAGTTCATGGTAAGGACTAAGGACCACTGGCTGTCACCGTATTCCCCATAGCCGTGTGGTTCGTAATTTATTCGTATTCGTATGCGGAATCGTCTTGTTCAGCGTTCCGCTAAATAAATAATATTTGTAAAACGATTTCACTAGTCATATGTCTATGATACCCATATAATTTGGTAGCATCTACCGGGTTCACTACACATCATATAAATACCAACAGTACTTATAATTTTTATCAGATTAATATTAAATTAATTTATATTCAATACAATAATCATATTTTGTAGGCGTATGTTGGTGATTTACCCGAAGACTTCTTACGCCTAGACTTGGTTTCATTAGATGATTCTACTAATAGATTGTAACAAGAAACTGCGGACTAGCAAACTGCCATGGCTCTGCAACAAGCATTATCTTGTGTGCAAGGAGACCGTGATATAAATAGATTAAATATTACAATAGTACAAGCGCGGCTTGTCAAAAACTATGAATTGACCAGAATAGATCCATATGTATATAGAATTGGACATTGTGTATATGAAACACAAACAGATTCTAATGGTGGTAAAACCCCTAAGTAGTATAAAACTGTTCAAACGTAATTCAAATTAGTACTAATTTATTTTGAATGTATTAAAAAAGATTACACATTTTTAGACTTCCACAATAAGATGTCATTGATGAATGTTCTTTCAAAATGTATGAACTTATTACTTGGACAACAATACCAATCTCTAATCAAATTTTTAAAGGGGTCAAAATTGAACAGTTGTACAATCTAACCGGTAAACAAGGACCAAATAATGAAGGAACTATAAATATAAATATGAGTTTTGGGGTGAGAACTAATTTTTTTAACGACTATTACATTTCTGTAGTTACTTAATATTATATTAACTATGTATCCTCGTTGACTTTAAGACTCCACTTAGTAGACATATAAAACAATTAGATGGCCGACTACAGGGCAATATTGAAGTCGGCAGCCATATGTCAACACGGAAAAATTGCATTATTGATAATATACATATATTTGGAATATATGTCATATAAATATGTATCAGGTAATATGTAATAGGTGTCTTATCTATTGAGTTATTTTTTAAACATTGGCCCGTTGACATATGGCAGTAGGTACGACTTCAACGTCCCTGTGGGAATGTAATATGCAGTCCACTAGCTATCTAGTTGTTTTATATATCTATGTATACACCTGGCACTGCTGATTATATTATTACAGTCCGGCTCATGAAAAGTGATCGTTCAAGGCCAATAGGTTTTTATCTAAATGGACATTATACGTTTGGGAGAATGATCTTTCTACCCACATAATAAAAGTAATGGGTTTGTACGAGTTTCTTATAATTTGTTCCAGTGAGTATGATACTATGATACAATATAATGTATAAAATATAAAAATTCCAGTGGCCTTGAACGTTCACTTTTCATGAGCAGGACTATAATAAATCCGTCGACAGTTACCACACGCTAACGTATGATTCTACTAGGTAGTTCTACTCTTACATCTTGTCCACTTCTACTTTTGTAGTTTCAAAATACATAGAAAGTACTTCTAAAATAAAACATTTTTTGTTTCACTCTCCAATTAGTGATACAATCATATTGTTTGTGACCATACACTGTTCAGCAAGAGAATACGCTGCGGCTCGACCAAAATCGGTTCTTCTGAGCATCCCTACACGGCAGCCTGCTATAGGCGTTCGGTTTCGGTAGCAGGGTGTCTCGGAGGGATTTACAAATTCCGTGTTTTCTCTTGCTGGACAGGGTATAGATAATAGATATAACACTCGACTATAAAGAACACCTACTCGGATTATCATCAGCAAAAGTTAAGACCCGTCAGAGAGCATCGTTTCAAAGCTCAACATGGAGAGCTGATCCAAATACGTCAGGAATAAGTTATTCATCTCTAGTATACTGAACGGTTGAAAGTCGTGCTCTCTCCTCGTCTGGCCTAACAGCTGTGTTTACAAAAATAATGTGACAGATACCTCTTGGCAAATAATTATATTTGGTGGGCTAGTAAAATCAATACTTCTAAAATGGTTACCAGTGCTTACTAACTTTGTTTCTCCAACATAACACTGAGAACACACACTCGTACAAGAGTGGAAAAAGCTTGCCACGACACTCCCCATACACATAGTCCTAGGCACATTAGAAAACACGCAACGACTTAAGTCCTGAAAACCATTGTAGAGGAAAGCAAAATATCCTGCAGAGATAATTAGAAACATGTGGCCCTGGCTAATCATCGAAGACGACTTAACTCATCTTCAATGAATGTATGATCCGTACATTTAAAGGCATCATGAAAGATATTGGAGTGAGGAGAGGTAGTGGAATGGATGATGAACTCGAACTTGATAACATAACCTCCTGGGCACTACAACGGTTTTATACCAGAAAATATTATTTAATTATATTCTAAACAACTGCTGCTCTTATTTATACCTGTACTTGAATATATGTATTTATTTTATTTTATCTTTGTTGACCCTTCCCACATTGTATGCGTTTTATATTGTATATTTTTTGGATTTTTTATTGTAAATTAATTATTACTATAAATAACTGTAAATAGGGGAACTTTGGTGCTACTCATATTGTTTATATGTTACATGTTTTCTTTAATTTAGGTAGGAAATGTAAAAATTATTTATGAATTAGGAATGTAGATAGTTACAACTTAATATTACAGCATTAATTTTAATCAATCCTTATAAAATAGTTGATTATTAAATTAATTTTTCTCTAATACGTACAATGTAACCATTGATTTCATAATTTTAGGCAATTTATAAAATTAAATGTTTCTATTCAGCCATTGATACCACAAATTTGAAACTAATACATGGTATCTATGAATATTTCATTAGTTTAATTAAAAAAGTAAAAACTTTGTTGACACTGCAGTAAATTGCACTTGTCGCAAATCGGCAACTACTGTTCTCATTTCGGACGTTCATGATCTAAAGTAGAAAAACCACACTGAAAAAAAAAATCTTTTAACTCTAATGGAAGTTTCAGTAAGGAATATTTCAGAGTTACTTAGGAATATTACTATTGTATAATAATCACTGTTTTTTTATGGTGGGATACAATGATATTATATCATTGAATTCAAATTTAACACATCCATTTCAGTGACCCACATGTCACCTAATGTACAGCAAAGTTGTAATCACTTTTAATTTTTTAGTTTAAGCTTATAACATTTAAAATAATATACACATGGTGATACTCATCAAGCGGGTAATCATATAATAATATTTTTGAAGAAAAAAATAGTATATTTTATACATTTTAAGTAAGTTTATTATTTTTATTTTGCTTGATTTAATAGGTAGTTATACAATTATACCTATTTGTTCATACTCAGTAAGTCGAATTTTGAGTGATAATGCTACTACTTTTGAGAAATCATTCCTTATGTTGTCACTTTTTCATTAATAGAAATATCCACATTATATAGTGTTCAATGCTGTCAAGCTAATACATTTTTTTCTTCTTCTGATAGTTTTCCTGCAACAAAGAATTATTTTTTTATTATCCTCTGCAATCAATGTTGTCTGCTATAAACTGTTAATATTTGTTTATGTACATTTACACCAATTTAATAACATGAAAAAAAGAACAGTCAGCAGATCATGGACATTACTAGGGAGGATTTATTTCTTATGGTGTAGCTACATGAAAGTAAACCATTTGCACTATTTCTGTGCAATTATTTAGGTATCTAATTCTTTTTAGGATACATTTTTGATATTAATTAATTCCTATTTTTTTCTTATAGATTACAATTACCAACAAACCAATTTAAAGGAAAATATTTATTATAGCTTTCCATAGTTTTAATTTTATTATTTTAATCAAGTACTCATAAAATAAACCACTTTTTTGCTAATTTTTGAATGCATCCCTTTTTTCATACATATTTTATATTTGAACATTTTAGTACATATAATAAATATTTATGCATATTTTAGATTTTTAGAGTATATTTGGTTGGTTTTTGATGCATACAAATTTGAGGTCTACTCATAACTCATTTAATAATGAGAGGAGAAGCTGTAACCTGTACCACTGTTCCTAGAATTGAACATTCTTTCAAATTTAAGAAACTTATATTTCGTGTTTTGTGCTCCTTAAATAATAAATATTTTATATAACCTTCTATAACAAACACTGAAAAGTAAGAAATACCTATTGTTGTTGTTGTGTGATAATTGTTATAATGTTTTAGAAAAAACAAAAATCTCAATCAGATAACACACTATTATAACATAATAATAATTTATCTATTTTGTATTTAGAGCTGGGATTTAAATTTATTTCAGAAAAAATAAGTTAGGTTAGGTAATGCATTTTTCAAATTAATTTCAAATAATAAAATATACTATAATTATAATACTAGTTTATCTAGAAAGGGCTAATATTTTAAAATGCTAACTATTAATTTATATTATAATGAATTATGACAAATACAGTATAATTGTTGCCTATCATTATACCTAGTGCTTTCTTATTTCTTTATTGAAAACCGGGTAACTGGCCTCGTAGTATGCCACGGACATTACACAAAATGAAACTTACTTTCCTCTATGTTTTTATCAGACCCTCTGCTGGAATTCCTTCCCAGATCCAGCAATGGTTCTTGTAAAATAATATGTTCCACCTCGGTAATTGGAACTGTGCGCCTTCTATTTGCCAATCATTTGCGACTAAATATATAAAGATAAAGAAAAATTGGTTAATAAGAGTCTTGAGTTTAAGTACCTCTATGATTTCCCACAATCACTAACTAACATCATTTTCATCATTTGTTGCTCATTTTCGATGTGTGAAATTTTAAATTGTCTCCTTATGATCAAGTTTCTAATTGAAGCTGCTAATCGTCCAATCCGGAATTTCTTCATATTCTACCATAAAAAAAAAAAAAAAAATGAACTATTTGATGAATGAATATTAATATTGAATAGAATTATTGTTATAATATTAAAACATTATGAATAAAGTTTGTAATTTTTTAATGAACATTCTAGTAATAAATAAAAATAATGGTTGTTCACAAGATGTTTAATGTTTCAACTTAGAGTAATATTTTGCTTATATCATTATCAAAACAAATTACTAATGGATTGTAATAGATCAATAGATGTGTAATATTTGAATTCAGTTACAAAATATGAATTATTGAGTAGGGAAAACAATTCTAAGCGGAATCGTTGGCCGTTCTGTAATCCTTGACTTAACTTACTTGAATAAATAATTAAACTAAAAAATGTAAAAAAAAAATGAATAAAAGTCAAAAATATCTCATAGTAATTACAAGGTAAACCTTGTAGGGAATCTTATATTAAAATATCTAATGATAGCTATGAAAAAAATAAGTGTTGTACATTTCCAACAGAAGAATAATTTACACATTTTTGAGATTTTGATGAATTTTGTGAAAATTTGAAATTTAAACGAATACAAAAACAATTGTGGATATGTAGCATTCATTTTTTAAACTTTTATTGACGAATTTATGAGGGATCTTTCATTCAATTTTAATAGTTTTTACCGAGTGAAAAAGTTTTTATTGACAATAATTTAAAAGAAATTCTTTATGGTCATCTTTATTTTGATTCATACTATATATATTTAATTTTTTTGTGAATAATTTATATTTGTTGAAAGGAAAATATCAATAAAGTAATCCAAAAATGGTAAGTTAAATGGTAGTGAATAATACAACTATTTAAGTATACAACACACTCATTACGTATAATAGGAACTGGTCTCATATCTCGTCTGCCTATGAACAGTATTCATAATAATAGTGTAGCAAATATTACTGAAAATTATTTAGTGAATAATTTTGTTGAAAAATTGCACGTACCTAATTCAAAATCCAGAATGAGTAGTTTCTTAGTTAAGAAAATGTTTGTACTAAAGGTAATAGTCTTTAAAAATGGTTTCATAAAAATATAAAATAGACATAATATTGGAGCTAGTGTTTATTAAACTTGGGCCTTGTTTAAAAATTATTAATATTGATCGATTAAGAGGATGTGTACAACATATACAAAGCTCAGCAGATTACGTTTAGCTATGTTAGCTTAGATTTCCAATCTTAAAGAGGTCAATTCATTCTGTTTCTTAAACTAACAGAGCTAAAAGTGATTTGAGGAGTGTACAATTTGCAATTTCCTCATCAATATTTGTTAAAATTATTTATAAAATATGAATTTTTACTACTTTAACGAGAAACATGCAAACTCCTCGTACAAATAATAGAACATTGCAAAATGTTATGTTATTTTTAAATATTGTTACCTATGTATAAATTTTATTATTTGACTATCAAATTAGTAGTAGTTTTTCATTTTTGATATAAGAACAAAATCTTTATTTTAAATAATGTAAAAAGAACTGTTATTAACTGGTTATATCATATAAAATGTATTGTTAGATAATTTCATTATCTAGTTTGCATACTTTGTATTTAACTAAATTTTATTTTTCTACCTTCAACCATATACAACATAAATGTTCTATGCTTCAATACAAGCTTCTCTTATAGAATGTAGATATTTCATTGTACCTAAATATAAATATTGAATAAAAAGTAGGTATGCATTAATAAATTAATATCTGAAAAATAGTACTTACTATTATTGAATAAATATCTTAAAAAATATATTATCCATGATCCGTCTATCTATCATATATTCATATTGTATAACATTAAAGAAAACAACAAAATTGACATAATCCCTATTTCAATTTACATTTTATAATACCCTTATTAACTTATCTCAAAAGTATCGACAAGAGATGTTGTAAGCAAGGTGTATTGATAAGGTGACACTCTGGACTCCTATGCATACAAAGTACAAACTCTTGATTGAAATAAATTATTACGACAGTTCTATAGACACCAGAGCGCGCTTCCTGTACTATGAATGTCTAAGTTTTCATACTATCAAATGCAAAATGCCTTAAAACTATGAATTAAAATGTTATTTTAAAATTTTTTTTATTGGCATATAGTATGTATTATAATTTATAATAATTGGAGCATGTAATTATAATTCACATTTGCATTTTTGTTTAAAAAATATTTTGTATCAAGTAGATATCAATTATAAAATATTATGATTTATAATTTAGTCATGAGGCCCTCTAAATTGAATGCAAGACTGTTAAGGTCCCTTTAATCAAATCATTAATTATTTTTCTAGTATATAGCCATATTCTCTAGTTTGAGAAGCACTAGATAACCATATAAATCTATCAAGCATTTAGCGTGATAAATGTTGGTATCCCCAGGCTCTATGTTACCATAATATAATAATATTATATAGGTACAACTAAATAATAAATGCTTATAAAAAGGTATTCAAAATGTATGCATTTGAATTATGAGTAGCATATAGATAATGTAAATACTAATTTTAACTTCAATATCAATATGAATTGAATGTAAAATCAATATATTTATCATGCACGGTCATAAATAGGGTTTTCAATTGCATAGGGCTTAAGCCCAAATAATTTCAAGAACAAAAAGATTGCTGGAGAATCGTTTTCCACCCACTTCATACAATTTTATCTATGATATAATTCAAAACAATCAAAAATAAAACGTGAACTAATGTATTGTGTTATTGTATATATTTAGTAAAAATGGTTTTATACAGTTTCAGAATCTCTCACAGCAATCTGAACCAAGCATCAAGTTACACAGCTCACTTGCTCAGTAAACAAATATACGAGTATTAAACGTATGTTATACGTATGTGGTAAACCTCAATTAATTATAATACACGTGTATGTTTTGTTGATTATTGGTCTAATTTAGGCATAATTTTGGGTCAAAAGCTATTTACCGAATATTCTTCGTGTATTATACGTAATAAACTACATTTATTCGGCGTACCTATAAAATACGTATAATTTAGTGTAAATATTCAACAATGTTTCGTTTAATTCACGTGTATACATGGCAGAATAACCGAGTATTAATCGCGTATAATTAGTGTATGCTACGAATATGTTTCTTGTATCAATATGAAAGGGTACACAGAATTTTTTTGTTTTGGGGAGGGAGGGGGAGCAAAATACTTTTTGTTATTGCAAAATAACAGATAGATAATGACGTAGGTCCGTGAAGTTAGCGGAAAAATGTGAGCACTAATTTCCGCTATACCGCCACTATTTAGTGCTAAATTAGTGCTAATCAACGGAACTATTTTCAAAATTAGTGCTGTAGTCAGTCAAAAGTTACAGGGGGGCTTACCTTTCTCCGCTAACTTCACGTAGCGGGTTCAACACCAGCACCAAAATCCGCT